GAATGTGGCTTTCCTAGCCCAAAAATGGGAGGGTGCCTGGCATTTTTGTAGTGGGAATTGTTCATTGGGATCAGTGGAGGCTATTACATGGATACTGAAGCGAATTAACCCCTTCATGGTCGATCATGTTGCATAGGTTGTATACCCATGTGCACACACAAATACATGGGCAAAAAAGGAAGTTGGAAAAAATTTCTGTCAGAGGTTACTGCTACACCTGTGATGGTCAGAGCTTGTTCAGAGGGACATTGCAAGCAGCAGGATGAGGTGAACTCACCAAGTAAGTTCTTTGCTACAAGGATTTAGTCTAGCTCCTGTCTTGCAGCAGTAAGGCACTTGCTGCAGAATTCAGTAAGGTCAAAATGTGGTGAGGAGTCTCCCGTTGCCTTTCATAGGTGCTACAGGACACGCTTGGGGGAATCCTTCAGAACCAGGACATGGTGCAAGACAGAAGCGTCTCCCCATGAGCTGTTACAATTCCAGCAGGTCCTGAGACCATTACAGAAATGCTGGCCTGTTTCAAATACGACACACTTGCTTTCTTCAGTGTCCCTGCCACATCCCTGTGCAGGAGCTGTATTGGCCCAACTTCATCACATGCAATTTTAGACACCTCTCCCAGGCATTCGTAGATAGACCTTTCAGTGAGTGTGCTCCTGACTTGGGGCTCTTACCTCAATGCAAGGGCTGGAGAAGTGGTGAAGCCAGATCCTTCTGTCCCCCTGGGCCCTCTTGCACCTTGATATCTGAAATTAGATGGGTGGGCAAGAGGAGAAGCATGTCTTCAGGGCATGCTCCTGTGTGGGTGCTCCCCTGACTGCTGGGATGGGAGAGGTGACCCAGAAGGCTGTGTCAAACCAGAAGCAGACTGAGACAGGCTTCTGGCTCCTGTGCCCACAGAGCCCATGTGGCAGAGCTGCCTTCTGCAGTGTGCTTGTTTCTCTAGAAGACTCTGGAAATGTTGCATTTATTTGGGTTCTTCCATCCAGCTGCCATTCAGGGAGCAGTAGTGGGACTGCCATAGCTCCTTTCTCTCCCTTGGTCCCCAGGGGCCATAGCAGGGAAGGAGGAAGGGTGATGTTAGAGAGACGATGGGGTAGACCATTGTGCCTTGACATCCCTATGGCCTGTTGGTGTTTGTATGCTCTCTCTGACTGCAACACTGGGCTCAGGAATTATCCTGTAAAGAGCCAGGACATCACAGCAAGGTCTCAAAGCCTTCAGCTGTTCTGCTTTTGGCACTGCCATTACGGGATAATGGGCATTTTGGGGTGGTGACAGCCTTTGGCCAAGAAGCAAAGAGTCAAAAGTCCATTATGTGCCTGGCACAGTCGCTTTGCTATAATTAGTAATTTTTTTTTCTGAGGCATATTTTGGAAGCGTCTGAAAAAGAATGTTTTGCAATTATGCACAGTAGGAGCACGATTTTAAGCAGCAAGTTCTTCAGTCACTGTAAATCTGTAAAACACCTCTGGTGTAAGTGGAGCTACTCCAGTCTCTACAAGCTACAAACCAGTCCCGTGTCTGGAGGAACATTGATGTAGCCATCATTAAATAGGTGAGGTGTAGATAGTCAGATTTAACATAGATATCAATAAGGGCTTCCCTAGAAATGGAAATTCTTAGGTCTTTACCTAAAAGATCTCATCCTAAAATATGGATCTTAAGCAAAAGATTTTAGTGTCTGTGTCCGAGAATGCTGGCCTGTGTTTGACGGCTGTCTTTTGGTACTAGCTAGAAGAAATCTGGAAAGATCAAGTCCTAATGCTGGCACTGGATGCCTGCTAGCGTTAGCAGAGGATGTGTGCATGTCTGAGGGCAGTTTTTCAAATGCAATTTCTTCTTCTAATTTTCTTTTTTTAATATTAAAACCACCCAAAAGCCACCATGTGAACAGAGATAGGATGGAGTAATGTTTTGCCTGGAAGTATCTTGCTTAACATTTCTCAGATGAGCAGTCTCCTATAGCAAATTAAATTTAAAGTGAAACCTGTTTCTAGACGGTGACAAACTGTTGCAAGCTTTCACTTATATTCTGTTGTGTGTTGATCTTTATAATGCTTTAAAACCTCTTTACTTGTGTCCTTTCTTTTGAGTACTGTGTGCTTGTAGCCTTAACCCTTTATTGGCTAAAACTCCTCCATTACCTACCCTTCGCTGTCACCTATTAAAAAAAAATAGGAGTGATAACCCTATTTTTCAGCCATTGCTTTGCTACATGATACAGACTAACACAACTAGGCAGAAATGACCTGATTCTGCATGACTTCCACGTGCGTAAATCTCATTGACGTCAATAGGAGCGTTACGTGCAAAAGGACTGCAGGGCATAATTAAAAAGGACCCTTTTCTATCAGAATGTGGAGAAAAAAATGTGGTTTCTACTTGGGTACAATGAAAGGCTGTAAATCATTAGAAACATTCCTGTCTCCTAAGAACCTGACATACTACTTTGCTGTTGAGACATGCTTGGGTGAATGATGAGTAACTCACTGAGAAAAGTTCCTGAGTTGGGTTAATGCTTTTTACCAAGTCTGATCATGAAACAGGTTTGACAGGCTGGAAGAAGCCCGGTGGTGTGATAGAACAAGAAGAGAGGATTTGCCTGATAGCAGGGCCCACCCAAATCTTGTTTGAACACCAGATTTGTCAATGGCTTTTTCCACTGTTAATAACAAGTGAGCAGTGTTTAACTGCTGGAGGCCACCTTCTAGAAACTGGGAGCAAGTCCAAATCTGCTGGTGATGAGCTGTGCCACTGGTGTGAGTGGTGAAGAATCAGGCCTGTTCTTGACCGTGTTGCTCAGCATCTCTACTAACAAGTGGAAATGCATTTTACTATGAATGTAACATTATGTGTGTAATTGGCAACAGCTGCTGCTTTACCACCTGGACACATGGGTCGGCTGCACACAAGTGTGCATGCTTCCACACGTGCACACATACATGTAGGCAGGTGTTGAAACAGGCAGAGGCAAGCATCCCTTTTTTTCAATGGCATTTGTTGCTTATGCTAATCTCGTTTTTAAATAGTCATCTACTAGAGTTCTTCTACCTGTTTTTTTTTTTTTTTAAATGCTCGTTGCCTGCAACTGCTCTTCATAGTATCCTGTCCAGGTGATCACCACCTTTCCCCTTCCTTCTCCTCATGGTTTTTTTTTTTTTCCTGTGTGCCCCAGTCAGTCCTGCTGACAAGGTCCCTTAGCACCCCTCCTCCTGGACTCTGCCCTGTCTCCTGGTGCATTTACTAACTGCTTACCTAGTGAAGTTGTGGTTTCACCTACTACTTCTACTGTGATTTAGCTGCTCTTCTCTTTCCTGTCTCACTAAGTTGATACAGTTGCAGGTGGTTTGCAGGCCAAGACCCCCTATTATTTATTGCATGCTTGATCTACATCTGGGCCCCTTTTTTTACTCCACTTGTCTTTAATGACTCCCTTATCCACAGGCCCTGCCGCCTGGTGCACTTCAACCTTTACCAAAGAGGCCAGCACTTGAAAAAAACAATGGTGCCACCACAGTCTTTAACCCAAGCGTTTTCCACTACCAACAGGCTCTAGCCAACATGCAGTTGCAACAGCCTACATTCATCCCTACAGGTAAGTGTCTCCTTGCTTTCCCCAGCACCGTAGTTGTCTTTTTTTATGACCTAAGTGTTGAGCTAGTGAGCAGATTTGTAAGAGTCCTTAGCAAAAGAGTATCAGTGTATGTAGTTTTGCGTTAAAAGTGGATGAAAAGTTAACGTTTGTTGTTTCACTTTTTTTTTTGTTGACCTACTACAATTCAGAGCTTTTCACTTGTAAAGATCCCTTCTTAGCCTTTTTTGTTTGGTTTTGGGTTTTTTTAAGCAGTCAAACTAAGAAAAATGTCTGCATGTTTCTTGAATTCATACTTTCTGTTTCTCCTCCATATGGTTCAACTGGTTAATCCCAAATTAATTCTTTGACTCTTGCATAGCACTCTTATGGGCTCATGTTAAAACATCTTGTGGACCTCTATGCCTGCTCACTTGAAGCTGCAGGTATCTTTCTGAGCTTCTCTCTCAGTGACCTACGTATTCCAGCAGCCATGATGTTTATAGAGGGAACGGTTCGTCTTTAGTAAATACAAATTACATAATCCTCTTTAAAGGCATATATTTCCCTCTTGCTTGTCTTTTGACCAGTACAATAGCCTAAGATTTTTAAAAGCAATTTAACTCCCAACTTTTATTGTACCTTTAAGGTCTCAGAGTAAAATTGAAAGATGCAGTTCAGTAATTCATACAGGACTCAAAGCATTGACTTGGCAGAGATGTGAGTGCTGACTAGCCAATTAACCTCTATTCACTGCAGCCAAATGAAAAACAAAACCTGCTTAGAGTAGTAAGTATTATAAGTGGCTGAATTAGGAATATTCCAGAGTTGATAGCTCATTTTTTAGTATCATTATTATCATTGCAGAACATCATAAGAAAACGAACTCCCAATGTTTTTAATGTTTAATGCAGTATTCACTTGCCAGATGATATTTACAAAAATACACAAAGTGTTTCTCTGGGCTGGCCCCTTGAGGTGAACACGCAGTGGACCTTGCCGTTCCTTGGGGTCAGGGGAAGAGCTTTAGAGACAGTCCTATACTGAGACCAATCTGTCTCAGGTGTGAGCGTGGGTCCAGAGAGCTGAGACCTAAGCCCTGTGCTCGTGTGGCCTTCTTGTTATGAGAGCACTTGGAGACACTCAGAACGTAGCAGCTGCCACGATGTTCTTCCAGGGAAGCGGAGTCTTGTATGGAGAGACAGAGGGAGGGGCTCAAGTAGCAGCTTCCCCACCTCATGCTCAACAAAGTGCTGTTGGCCGGGATGGGCTGAGCTGACCTTACCACAACTCTGTTAAGTGCCAAGCGAAATACTTCTTCAGGAAACAGACACCTTTGAGAATGCCAAGTCCCCCAGCTGGCTACATGCTCCTCTTCCTCGAGGTCGCAGTTGCCAAAGTTGACATGAGGACATGCATTTCTGATCTGAGCACCATAAATTAGCTTTTACCCAGCACTCTCACTGTGCTGTTGTGCCCTGTCTCATGGCAATGAAATTACACTCAGGGCTGATGCGTAACAGGTCTATTTGCTGGCACCTGCTCTCCTCTGAGGACATTAATGCTGGGCAGAGCAGCAAATTTCCCGTCAGAGGACGGAACTCTGATAAATTTATGTTACGCGTCCCCATTTTCCCTTATGCATCAGGCTGTAGATCTGGTCTCAGCCTTTGCAGCGCTCTGGAAAGCAAAGCAGAGAAGTGGCACGTAGCAGCTCACACCGTGGGGAGGGGAAGTGAGCTGTTGCTTTTCTTAGTTTCTGCTGTTCAGTTATTGAGAGATCAGCATCGTGGGTTGCTATGGTGGGGAAAGTCAGGGTGTCTATTGAAAATGGCATCATTACTACAATTGTTTCAAGTCCAGAAAAAAACTGCCTCTTTCAGCTTAAACTAGAGACTTTGAATCCTGGTCCTTGCTTGCAGGAGTAAATTGCTTTTGGAAAGTCAGTTTTAACATGAGTGTGACGTTTCTCTAAGGGCAATTTGTTTTCTGCTGACGTGATCAGAAAGAAATAGACATACCCAATACCAAAAAAAAAAACCAAACCCAAACAACCCTGATTTCTAGGATAGATCATATAATTTAATACCAGGGTGGGAGAAGAAAGGTATTTTCTACTACCCAAGAATTGAAGAATTAATTTGGTTTGCTATGATCTCTTAAAACAGAGTTTAAACTATTTATGTACGAATATGCAGAATATGTTTGCATGTGCTTAAATACTGAATGCTGCAAAGAGAATACCTGCTTTTTAGTTAAAGTGATTTCTAACACTGAAGCTTCACTAATGAAATATCCCTTTTGTTCATCTTTCCACGCTTCAATGCATGGTGTGCAGGGTCAGTTCTGTGCATGACACCCACTGCAAGCGTTGGTAGGTTTTTCTACACAAACTTCTCAACTTTTCCTAATCTGAAAGAGACAGCAAGTTAGTATGCATCAGTGAGAACCTGGGTGGCTGAGTGGTGTGACTGTCTATCCGCTGTCTTCTTTGAGGCTTAAATGGTTGTATCCCTTTTAATTTCTGTGCAGTGCAGTGTTTCGTGTGACTAATAAGAGAACCCAAGGTGATGTGTTCCCACCCCTATTTAGTTCCGCTGCAGAGACAAAAATTTGTCACTTAAATGTCTTTACAACCCATTTAAGTCATCCAACAAAAGGAAATAGCAATGGGAGGATCCTGTTGGTTTCTTTTTTTGTATCAGGCATCAGGTGGATTAGAGTTCGGATTTTCGGTTGTCCTTCTGAGGACATTTTAGGAGACTGGTTTAATAAAGGCTCTAAGGAGGAACACATCTGGGGTCAGCCCCTCTGCCAGAGCAGGGCGCTTGTGAGAGAAGCAGGGCTTAGACTGTTGACTGGCTGAAGATTCATCTCGTTAGTGAAAGTGTCAGCTGTGCAGGTACAAGGGACCGTAGGGAGGTACCGCTGCTGGTGCACGTGGGATGCAGTGAGGCGGCAGGGCTGAGTACATGCTCATTGCTGCTGCAGGGATCCAGTATGTTCAGGCTCAGCATCTGGGTCTTACTGGGAACCTGTGCAGGTCTTTGAGGGAGCTTCCCCTCTGTCTACAGCTGCTGGGCACAGCAGGGTGGGTGAAAGCTGAGCTCCAGCCAAGGTTATACAAGACTACCAGCATCCAGGTGTGTGCCTGCTTCAGCCAGAGGGAGAGAGGTGGGAACAGGAGCCATGGGGAAGGTGCAAGGCTTTTGGGGAGCAGGTCTGAAAGCTTTGGCAGGAATGGCTAAGCACTCTGCTCTTAAACCTCCCCATCCCTATAGCGCAGAGAGGACACACCACTTGCATGACAGGGAGCTGAGCCCTTCAAACGCACCTCTGCCTGTAGGAAACCCCAACCCACATGCTCCAACATCCCGTGGCTGGAGCGTGCCCAGCCCGCAGGCACACATCCCCCGCCGGGACTGGACGGCTGTGTCCCTGGGATGGAGGGGAAGGCAAGTCTGCTTCTCCGCCGCATGTTTGCAGGGACCGCCGGGCCTTCCTGCGGGCTCCCCGGCCCCGCAAACCCCCCCTGCATTTGGGGAATGCCAGTTGCTCCCCGGAGCATCCTCTCCAGCACCGTGCTCTGGGGGATGCGCAGCTTCACAAGGCTGCCGAGCTCCCTGCTGCCGTGTTGTCCTTTTGGATGCTCTTTCTGTAAATTTTAGCTGTTCAGATGCATTCGTGTATTTTTCCCTCTCGGCCCCCTCCCCTCTCCATCCCCACCTCCCCGCAAGAGGGGAGTTTTGCCAAATCCTCAACTATTAGGGTGGAAAGGAAGCACGCTGAATTTGTACGGAGAGAGCTTGGGCTGCCAGCCGCTCGTTTGACGTGCCTCCAGCTCTGTCCCATGTCGAAACATCGTCCCTGCTAGAGAGAGGCAAGAAAACCTGGTGAAAGGGCTGCGGCAGCCGCTGCAAAGTGCATCATGTACCTCTGGTTGCTGGTGGGGACGGGGTGGGGAGGGAAGGGGACAAGCTTTCCTAGGCGGGTGGGAGGGTGCGCTTGCCAAAATGTCCCCACCCAAAGGAACGTGCACTGGCTGTGTCTAACTCCCCACGGGTGCGAGCTGACGTGGGCTTTTGCTAGCACACCCGCCCTCTCCCCCCTTTGGAAATTTTGGCCCTTGGAGTCTAATACATCATTGTTCTGCTTATAAATGTACTAAGTGTTGAGAATGTTTTGGTTTTTTCCTTAATTATAATTGTAATTGGCTTTTCCCCTTCTCTCTTGTTTATTTTTTTCCCAACGCTGTCTTGCTTTGCACTGTGATTGCATGCTGCGCCCCGATGTGTCCTTCATGACGATGTCACATGGCTTGTTGCTGTGATTCCTGCCACGCCCCCAAATCCACCACATGTTGCCATGGTTACATTTAAAAAAACCAAAAAAAAAAAAATATATACGCTCCACCCTCCCGTATGTCGCTTCCATGGTTCCCTTCCGAAAGTGCCCATGATGCACGGTGCTACGCCCACCACTGTGTCTGCAGCAACAACTCCTGCCACCAGCGTCCCCTTCGCTGCAACAGCTACCGCCAATCAGGTTTGGCCCTTTCAATGGCTTTCTTTCACGTGTTCAGATCTCGAGGACCGGGCGAGGGCCAGATCCTGCGCAGGGCCGAGCGCCTTCCCGACCCGCTCGGCTCGGTGCAGGCTCGGGCGC